TTTCGGACGAATTTTTTTTTTGAATTTTGAATTCAAATTTTTTTATACTAGAGGTAGATAGAACTTAAACTGATATTGCACAACGAAGTGGTAGTATCTCAGTGGAACATCTACCCGCTCTAGGTAAAGAGGTCAGGATTTCGAGTCTTGCCCGCTACTTCTTTTTTCACGTAATTTTTTTGAAAAATAGACAAAAAAATGTTGTGTAGAGTAGGGGAATCGAACCTGCGTCGTCTGGGTGAAGTAACTACATGGTTACCACCGCGCCGTAGGTAAGTTTTGTCATACAACAGAGATGCTCCCTTATTTCAGACTACGTTGTACGTAAAAATTCAAAAAAATCGGAATTTTTTGCTCGGGATCGATCTTTCTCGTGGGGCAGCGAGAAACTCGGTATCCGCCTGGTAACCGTTTTTCTCGGGCGGTACCCAAAACCGTGATTAGAACAGAACTTGGATAAGAACTCCAAAATGGAGCCAAAGGAGACCTCTTCTTTGATATGAGCAATCATTTCAAGAATAAGCATCTGGTTTCCATAATAGTTCCATAGGAAAAATTATGCACACACTCCAGTTTTTTTACATGGTGGTACATCAAGATTGCACATACCTCAAAGACAGAAGTTTAACCAAAACGAGATTTGTATAAACTGAAATAGGGCATAACCAAAACGTACAAATTGTCGTTGATGTTCAGATCTGGGGTAGATGGCGGAGAGGGGAAGCTCACCACGTTGGTGTTATGTTGGCCTGCTCCTCTGGCCGCTCTACCTGCAGAAACGAGATCAGATGGGTCAGTGAGAGAAGAGAGGGGAGATAGAGGAGATAAGATAATGTTAACTAACAGATCAAACACACGAGGGGCCGCTTGGATCCAGATCCGCCCGCTCAGCCAGCATCGCTCTCTTCCTCTGTCCACCGCCTCATCCCCACGCCATCCCCTTCCTCGATCGAAATCCAACACACACACAAAGAGAAAATGGATTTCATTGTGGGCTACTCCTCCCATGGCCACCCCTCCGCCTGCTGGACATCATCTCGCACCCCGGCCTCGAGTGACTCTGGTTCCGTCGCGATCGACTCGCCCACTCTGTGCACGCCCAGCCTCGACATGAGGGAAGGGGGCAGTGGCGACGGCCAAGTCAGGGAAGGAGGGCGCCGCGGGGAAGTGCCAGCCCACACGGTCCTTGGCCAGCCGGTGGTTCCCGGCGAGGCCACCCACCCTGCATCTCCTCGTGTTCACCTTCTCCCGCAGCGGTGGCGCGGCGCGTCGAGCAGCCGACACAGGGAAGAGGAGGGGCTCGGAGCAGTCGCGAGGAGAATCGGGGGAGAGAAGAGGAGGCGGCGGCGGCGTCACGAGAGAAGGTTGCGTGCGATGTGAAATTTTGGAGGAAAGGATAAGGAAGGGGTGGGGCTCGAGGCAACTTCCTCCCTCTTGCTCTTTTTGTCTTCCAGCTAGTCCGACGTGGACATCGGGAGGAGTGCTCGCGCTTGATGCACAGCTGAATGATTTTAATATGCCTTGTCCATGGCCTTGAGGCCTCTCGGCTTCCTCCCAGAAGCTTCCCTCCATCATGATCATGATCATCACCATCATCATCAGAGAGCTGAGCTGAGTGAGTGGTTAACTTGCAGAAAAGGTGAGGAAGAAAAGCACAAGCACCCAGCACACAAGTTGGCCAAAAAACAAAACATTTTGTGCCCCAAGTGCTGCCCTCTGTGCTATTCTCCACTGTTGTCACAGGGATATGTGGATGCCTTTTCTGAATGAGAAAAAGAAGAACAGGGCCAAAAAGGAGTGAGGGAAGGATTTTGCAAAAGGTTGATGGAAAGGGAGGCAGCCAAAGCATGAGATGCCAAAGCTAGTGCAACTCTGACTCATTTCCAATTCCATTGTTTGGTGGGTCCAGCATCATGGTCATCAATGGTAGTAGTAGTAGTAGTGGTGGTAGGGATCTATACAAGAGAAGAATTTCCTATTTTTTAGGACTTAAGTACACACAAACAATGCAAAGGTCAATCAGATGTTAACCAAATGAACAAGGCAAGTAAATGCTGGATGACTCACTCCAAACTCATTTTGGTTTATCCGGAAAAATTACACTCGCAAACATACGGACGGGAAACGGCGCAAGCTTGAATGAATGAATGATAGATCATAGATGTGGATAAGTATGTGTGAGATGCTGCATGAGTAAGGTTTCCCATAACATGAGCTGACCAGAAAGCAGGATCCATGAAGATTGAAAACAAGTCACTTGACAATGTGCATCATCAGTACTGAGCACTAGTATTCCCTGTGTGTCTCAAGATACTACAGCATCAAGTTCTAGACATCCTTTTCCCCTTACATTCTCAGTATCAACACCAACACTTGTGGACTACTACCAAGCATCACCACTCACCAGCATACCTACTCTCTCTGCTATCTTATGAAAAATCCCCATAATCAATTACTTCAGTAATAATACAGGCAGTGAAACTACAGCCAGGGCCATATTACACTAGACATCTGATGCGCTTGCATCTTCTAATACAGCGTACTCGGTACTCCGGTTCGCGGCCAGCTGATCATGTAGACATTGTAGAGAACCACACTGCAGGCCTTGATCTTGCAAACCCTGCCGTAGTTCGGCATCCCGAGAGCCCGGTTCGGCGAACTGAAGGGCGCGCTCGACGCGCCGTGCTGCTTGGTGTCGGCTGGCAGCGAGAACTGCCCCGTTGCCGTGCTGAGCCGGTGCGCTGGACTGGTTGATCATCAATCACTGGGACGGCGAGGGAGGCTGGTCGTCGGTCAGGTGAACTGTGGTGATGTCGTGGATGCTCGACCTCCTTGCCGTCCCTGAGCTGAGCCTGATAAAGTACTTCTGAGCGTGGCTGGCCACCTGCGTCGGCGTCCTCGTCCGCACGAAGTTGCGTGATATTTTCCTCCAATCCCCTTTTCCGTACGTCTTCAGGCCTAAGAGAAACAACCTGGCCAAAGAACAAGGCATGATCAGCTTCAACAACCAGTATGGATCATGAATTCTTACTGCATAGCCATCTCATCAATTCCTAGTGAACAATTTATTCAGTTTCAGATAGCAGTTCTTCCATGGTTGAATTATTCTGATGATGTAAATCCTATTGATTGATGGTGAATTCAAGAAAGAAAATTTATATGACTAGTTAGTCTTGTGCATGACATAGATGGAGCAGTGAGATCAGAAGAACACTATACTCACCTGTGCTCGTCGTCGGTCCACGGCACCCCCCTCCTCCTCCCCTGTCCCGGCGTCCGCACGCCGTGCCAGTTCCCGCAGCCAACGCCGAACCGCCGTCGGGCCTGGATGGAGATGGCGTGCAGGCGGCGGAAGCCGCCGAAAGAGAGCACGACGGCGCGGAGCAGCTGTTCCGAGAAGCCGAGGTCGGTCCACTGTCCACTCCCTCACGCACGGTGCCTCCCACAGCCGCTCGTCCTGCGCGAGGACCCGCCAGCCCCGGCTCACGCACGCCGCGGCGGCCAGCGTCCGCGGCTCCGCCCGCCGCAGCACCTCGAACATCGTGTCCTCCCCCAGATCCGGCACCTCTCTCGCGTCCCCCGGCGGCGCCGGTGGAGGCTGTGAGGACGAGGATGCCTCGGCCTGGCTCGAGCTCGAGGTCCGCTGCCGCTTCTTGGCTGGCTCGCTGGAGCCGCCACCGCCAGAAGCCGGAGGAGGAGCCCAGGGATCACGGCCAGCCGAGGAATCGGAAGGGCACTTCATGGTGGGGCGCCTGTACACACGACTGTCAGGATCACGATGGATCTGACGAGGAGAGATGGACAAAAATCTGATCTTGACGAGGATAGATGATGAAGAGGATAAATTCTTGTAGGATAACAAGACAATTTACTTACTGGAAATTAAAGAATTGAAATACAACAAGATGGCTTTGATTTCGTAGCTTAGCAATGGTACAAGGATAGGCTTTATATAGAGTCTGGTCGATGACATCCCATGAGAAATGGGAAATGTTCAAGCTTTTGCGCCGGTGACAAGAGAAATGTGCGATGGGGTGTGATCCTACGATGCAGCCAGCACCTCTCTTCTTAAAAAATATCTCAGCTTACCTAATCCTCTCGCGTCTGTTCCTCACCGCTCATTCTCTTTCTCTCAACTTCATTGCTTTCACGATCAACTTCATTGCTTTCACTAAGGCTTCCGTCCTTGGAAATACCCTTTGGCTCTCGCATGTATATACACCACATATGGGGTATTCTTTTTTCAAGGGTTCGCCAATGACGTACCTTAATTAGCTTTATAGGAGAGAGAAAATTATATACAAGAGATTACAAAATTTGCTAGTTAGGCGTCACAAGTCGATCCTAACCCAGCCTCCATTACACTCCCTCATACTACTCGACTACTTGGATACTAGTTGTCCTCCAAACGCACCTGCCGTGGCCCAAGTCCTCAAGTCGCCGAAGATCATGTCCACCGTATCACCCTCATTCTTGCTCTGTCCCGATCCGAAGACCCTCGAGTTCCTCTGTTTCCAAAGAGTCCAGCAGATAAGCATCACGAACGTGTCGAACCCTTTCCGAGTTTGCTTGTGGATTTGTTTCCTAGCTTCCATCCACCATTACACCAACCTAGAATCATTTGCCGGGCAAAGCTCAATCCTCAACCCCATTCTAGCAATGGAACGAAACCACACTTGCCGTGAGAACACGCACTACTGCAAAATACGGTCCACCGTGTCTTCCTCCTGGTCGCATAAGAAGCACCTTCATGTTTGGTCTTGCAACCCATGTCTCATCCTTTTATCCGATGTCCACAATTGGTATTGAACTGCTAACCACATGAAGATCTTGCACGCTAGTGGAGCCCAACATTTTCAGATGGCTCCGAATGAGTGAAATCTCACTCCTCCCTCACAAAGCATCTTATAAGCGGATGATGCTGTGTAAACTCCCGACTCGTTCCAAGCCCAAATGGGACGGTCCTCCATATGATCCTCCAATTGCACCTCTGAAATGATCTCCCAAAGCTTGATGAACTGGGTCAAACCTTGTGTGCATAGGTTACCCACTACGCCATTCATCCGAGCATGCATGCCTAGAGCCTCACGTACCAGTCTCCTGTTGACCATCTGCGTGCGAACCGTTGCCACTATACCAAGGGGGCAATCTCGGAGATTGTTGTGTTGGAAATATGCCCTAAAGGCAATAATAAAGTGGTTATTATTATATTTCTATGTTCATGATAATTGTCTATTGTTCATGCTATAATTGTATTAACCGGAAACCGTAATACATGTATGAATAGATAGATCGTAATATGCCCCTAGTAAGCCTCTAGTTCACTAGCTCGTTGATCAATAGATGATCATGGTTTCCTGACCATGGACATTGAATGTCATTGATAACGGGATCATATCATTGGGAGAATGATGTGATGGACAAGACCCAATCCTAAGCGTATCGCAAGATCATGTAGTTCGTTTGCCAAAGCTTTTCTAGTGTTAAGTATCATTTCTTTAGACCATGAGATTGTGCAATTCTCGAATACCGTTGGAATGCTTTGGGTGTACCAAACGTCACAACGTAACTGGGTGGCTATAAAGGTGCACTACAGGTGTCTGCGAAAGTATCTGTTGGGTTGGCATGAATCGAGACTGAGATTTGTTACTCCGTATGACGGAGAGGTATCTCTGGGCCCACGCGGTAATGTATCATCATAACGAGCTCAATGTGACTAAGGAGTTAGCCACGGGATCATGCATTACGGAACGAGTAAAGAGACTTGCCGGTAACGAGATTGAACAAGGTATGGGGATACCGACGATCGAATCTGGGGCAAGTAACATACCGATAGACAAAGCGAATTGTATACGGAATTGATTAAATCCCCGACATCGTGGTTCATACGATGAGATCATCGTGGAACATGTGGGAGCCAACATGGGTATCCAGATCCCGCCGTTGGTTATTGGTCGGAGAGATGTCTCGGTCATGTCTACATGGTTCCCGAACCCGTAGGGTCTACACACTTAAGACTTAGTGGATTTGTCTCTACATTGCAGAGGAAGGACTTTTGGTGTCTTACATTCATTACCCTTGTGTAGACAACTGGGTTAGTCTTGTTAAAATTTGGTTCATGCTGGGACAGTTGACTCTCTTTCTTCGGACGTAGTTATTCAAAGGAAGGGTTATGAGCTACGGTATAGCCTGGAAAAAAAATTCAGATTTCCATGTTGATGCTGATTCCGTGCCTCGTGTGTGGGAGCACGGAGATGATCCAGGGGGCGGCAAAGGACATGGCATGGAGGATATAGGGAGAGCCAATGATCCTAGTAAGAGGCCAAAACCCACTTCGTCATCCAATGACTCCTCCGTTCATCCTACCTCGGGTCGAGTGGTGCCCATGCAAATGAACTCGTCCACGCCTCTCGCGGGGGCCTCTTCGACGCCGGATAAGTTCTTCATCGCTGTCACACCACCTAACCCTAATCGACGCGAGGCCCCTTCGACGTCGGATATGTCTCCACCTCGGCCATGACACCTTCAGCACCTTCGTCGATGATGGCCCCAGCGAACACTACTCCTGCTGTTTTGACGACATCGGCGCCACAGTCTACGATGCCGCCGACTCCGACTCAGCTAGCTGCACCGCCATGCCTCGAAGAGGGGAGTCAGGACCGGACTTACCTTGAGGGGCTCATGCCTGAGTAGGCTCCTGAGGGTGTGGCTTCGCCGCCACCATCGCCCACACCTTCGTCACCTACCCGACGAGGAGTGATTTTCTCCCCGTCTGTTAGGGCTAAACATGAGTCGGCAATGGCGGAGTTGTGAGCTTTTTCTTATACGCCTCTGACGACGGGAGGGGCGCCCGCATCCAGGGCTCTCGCCGAGCCGGAGGCTGACTTGCAGCCCTCGCGGTCTTCTTCATCATCGCCGCACCCGTCTACTCCACCACTCAGGGCCACCGGAACTGCCACTGCTGCCAACCTCACTCCATCATCACTGAGGCGCAGCGGTCGCCACTCCATCGGAACTGATGGTACTGCAGCCACCGACGAGGACTCTCTAATGAGAGCCATGCGCAAGACGGCTGCCCGCAATCTCGACTTTGAAGGTACCTCCTCTCGTAAATCATTTTTGTCTTTTGATAAATCCAAAGTACATTCAAATATTACTAGTCTTGGAGTTTCATTAGGACGTAATGAGAAAGAGGTAGATTTTTCTGTTAGGGCTCTTAAACAAGTGGAGTTCGACCGGCTTACGGTTGCTCCTAAGTTGTCGATATTTGCGGACCCTTTTGTGTCAGATGAGGAGGATGAAGATGCTGATGCCAATCATGAAGGCAAGCTTCTCTCCCATCTAGTTAAAGAGACAACTGAGGTAGACTTGGATGATACTGTACGTGACATTACGCTATGTGAGCTGGTCGCGTCAGTACGAAAGAACAAGTCTAATTCAGCAAAGAAAAGAGGGCACCCATCTAAGAGGACAAAGGCCTCTAAACAACAAAAAAATGGTTCATCATGAGAGGCATGTTTTGGAATAGCAGAGGTCTTGGTGACTTGGCTAAACACAAACATATTGCTGATTGTGTAAAGGATCATGCGTTGGACTTTCTGGCTATCACTGAGTCGGGCAAACGTGACTTCCCATCACGTGATCTTGACCACTTTTCATGTGGTTACGATTATGAATGGCACGTCTTACCCCCGTCCGGGAGGTCCGGTGGAATCTTGCTAGGAATCCATTCCACTTACTTGGAACTTTTGTCCACGTCAAAGGGGGAATATCATATCAAATTCCACCTTCGAAATAAGTCCGACAACTTCCTTTGGAGCCTGGTGGCTGTATATGGCGCCGCTCAAGAGGAGTTTAAGTTTGCTTTTTAAAAGGAACTTATTAATACCTGCCG